CGGGCGCTTGCCACTAGGCAACACTTTTTTGCTGCAACTTTTTTTTTTTCGTGTCACCGTGTGTGTGTGTGTGTGTGTGTGTGTGTGTGTGGTATAAAGTGAATTTACCGTCAGCCTAATCTCAGACGGGTGATGCTGCTGCTGCACGGTCCTTGCCGCACTCCACATATGTTCCCTCTCTCTTGGGGCCAACGAACGACGACTTCATCACTTAGTTAAATGAGAAAGAGGCAACAAATGAGCAAAAATGTTGCCGCTTCCTGTTGTGTGGCACGTGTGGGGGAGCAGGAGAACTAGGAGGAGGAGGAGAGCAGGATAGCTCGTCTGCCCGCCAGGTGGAAAGCACTTAACAAAGTCCACACACCCATCAGCCCATCAACCCATCAACCCTTTTCATCTGTACCTCCACAGGTAGATGCTGCTGCAACTCTGAATGTCTCCCTCTTCTATGGAGCTGCCTCCTACTCTTCTGTTGACTGTTGCAACTCAGTCTCCCTCCACTTGCTGCCTCCTCCTGTGAACTGTTGCAACTCCGTTGCGTCTGTCCTTTTTGCAGAGCGTTGCAGGTTAAACATTTGTGCCCCCGGTACCGGGTACCCGGCACGAAAGTGCCGCATTGAGGGTTGCCCTGTTGTCACCGGCTGGTTGATTATGTTGCATAATAAAGTGAAATGCCACCAGGCACTTTCCCACTTTTCATTCCCACTTTTCCCACAATTATTTTGGCTTTGTTTGTTTTCATGATCTATTTGTAAACGGAAAAACATTCCCATGCTCACGGACAACCCTGAACTTTATTTTGTGGTTCTATGCCCCGTGTTTATGCCGCTTGTGTTGTGTGTGTGCCTTATGGGCCTATGCTTGGCGAAAAACGTTAACGGAAAATGTTCAAAATTCTGAGGGTCAGTTGAGCGCAACGGCGAGCCAAAAATTGTTAACCCCCCACCTAAGATATCTCCTGCTATATGCGTGTCCCGTCCCTCCTTCTAGTTCTGTTCTTCGATGACGACAGCAACCGGCGCGCAAACGCAAAAGTCGCTGAGGCGTGAACTGGCGACGTACCTGCCCCGTGCCCCCGTGCCCCTGTGCTCTGTGTCCCGTGTCCCATGTTGCTGCCGCCCTGCCCTTCGACTATTTACCCCGAGGTCTGGCGGAAGTCTACACTTGGAAAAACCCCTTGAAATACTTGCGAAATAAATTCAATTTTCGAATCCAAAATTGTTGGAATATGTATAAAAATCAATAGAAAAATCATAAAATCATACTTTGAACCAGAAGCTTTCCAGTTTCATGGGCTTTAAAAATATCCAATGGCGACTTACGAAAACTCATACAATGGATAATCAAAAAGTTTTCGTTTCTCTCAACACATTTTCCATCCATTGAGCGTTTTGACTATAGAAACAAATAGTTTGTGTGTTTTTTTTCGGTGTAGCATAAAGTTACCTTCTTGGTTCGCCATTTGAAGATTCATTTCGCCGAGTCTTAGATACATATTCAATTTTATGCTTGGCATGTGCCGCCAAGGTAAACTTTGTCTCTGCCTCAGCGTCTGCCTCAGCCTTAGATTTTACCGCTGTCTCTGTCTCCGATTTTGCCTCAGTTTGTGCCCCTTCCTCAACAGTTTTGCCTTCGATTGCACCTCCATTTGTGCCCATCCCCCCCATTTCCCATTCCGATTGCAGATCTCAGAGTCTGACTTTGCTCGCTGATTACTTGACATATGTTGAAGCTGTTTGCTTTGTGCGGCGGCCTGTAAAACTGTTTTTGGGTTCTCTATCCGTCTCTATCTATCTATCTATGTGTTTTTTTGGGCTTGTCGAAGGTTAATTTTGGCCAGAGCCAGCAGATGGGGGACACTCGTAAAGTTCTTCGCCCCGAAAGCAGAGTCTCACCTTCGTGGAGTCTTGGGTTCTTGCAGTCACGGTTCTGGCTGTTGGCGAAACTTGACAGCTGCGTGATAAATGAAGCGCATGAACGACACAAAATGCAACAGCAGTTGCAGTGGCAGGAGGGGCAACCAGCAGCCGAGCAGTACAAGAGAAAGAAATAACAACAGAGGAAGAAGTAAAAGAGGCACTTCCAAGGACAGTAGCGACAAACGCACAGCTGCAACAAGCTGCAACGAAAATCCACCGTTGACCTAGGCACCCACTACTCTGTAAGCCAACCCAGGAGGTGCGTTGCACCATCCCCTTCGGCTGTAAGTTTGTAACAAAATTTACTAATTTAATTTTTGCAATTTGGTAGAGTTTTTTCTCCGCTCTTTTCTGCCATTCTTACGGTGGGGTATCCTGTTTTTGCATATAGGACAACCATCCCTGCACTACCCACTCCCCACCGGCCGTCCGGATCTCGAGGATGTTGGCAACGTGCTGCCAGTGGCACTTGCAACGTTTCGCGACTGCTGCAAGTGGCACGTTTCACGTGCTGAATGTTGAGGCTAGCACCGAAATAAAGTGCAGAGAGAGAAAAGAATGACTTACAGATTTATAAAGCAAACATTACACAAGGAATGCGATAACTTTCTATTCGGGAATATAGAAAATAAATCATATTTAAACGTACTCGTATGTACGTTTAGGATGTCTAACATCCTAACATTCTATATGTCAAAGAGCATGTAAAACTCAAGAATAAAATAATTTTATAAAAATAATCTATTTAATCCAATAAAATTTGATATCAGAACAGGTTTTAGATGCTTCATTTTGATCGAAACTTAAACAAAACTTGTGGCTATATAGGGAACCTAAGATGTTCTTCCCAATATTTATTATTATTAATAGACATTGCAGTATTTAGAAATATTAACAAGATAATATTTCCATTTCTTATTTCGACTTAAACTTGCAAGAAACTTTACAATGTCATAGAAAAATTCATATGCTTTATTTCAGATTTTCTTTGCCTAAATATTATAAGTAATTTTATACATATTATAAGATATGGGAAAATTTGGGTATACATATTTATTAGATATATTAGCTTTATTTCGCTTTATTTATGGGATATAAGAAGTCGTGTAAGAACAAATACAAATTTAATCTAAATATATTTGTATCTCATTTTATATAGATGGTTTTGAGGATATTTGTGTTATTATAAACCTCTTTTAATCAAGGATCTGCCACTGATTACCTTCGCATATTCTATGTTTCTTTGGGTGTAGTCGTGTATATTGTCAACGTCATCGTCGCGGCAACTAATGTTGCATTATTAAGTTTTGAACTTTGTTGTCAGGATGCAGCATCGTGCAGCATCCGCCCAAACAGCGGCGACATCCTTTGCCTCATTGCTTCAAAGGTGTCAATGTGTGTGGGTGTCTGTATCTGTGTGTGCACCTTGTTACATCATTAAGAGTCCATTAGTCATTAAGTACGGCAGCGGCAGCGAATGTCGCTGCAGCTGTGGCATCGTCTCCTCTGGTTGTAGTATCTAGAGACTCTCTCTCCCTTCTCTCGCTTCCTCCTCCTCCCCCCTTTGGGAATATATGAAATTCCATTTGATTTTAATGGGAAATTTGTTGGGTAAGCATCATAGAGGGGTTGTGCGGGGTTGTGACCGACTGGTGGTGGCATGCTTCAAAAATCTTAGCAGTTAATAGACACCTGACTGGGGCCGCTCATGTGGAAGGACAGATAGGATAGGAGCCTCGAGCGGCATGCGAGTTATTTAGCTTATCCTCGTCGAAAAAATGGGTTAACTTGGTGTCAGGGTCTCTCTTTTCGCTCGCCGGATGATCAAATTAAGTGAAGATAATAAATGGTAACATTTTGGAAGACATTCGGATTATTTTATACCCATTTATCCAATCAGAATAAAGTTTAAACAGCTAAAAACTGTATAAGAAGTCACTCCTACAATGAGATTGAACATTAACCTGTTACGTACCTCTCCACGAACTCCCATATACCCTTATTATTGCCCATTAAAAGGGTATAATAGTTCATATCATAAGATTTTCAGTTATTTAACGGTTTTATGGCCATCGTGGTGCGTGTGGAAGCCCCCGAAACTGGAAAAACGGTTAATTAAACGTTGTCTCGTTAACAACAGGGTGTGTATGTCACAAAGGGGGAGGTCCAGTGTATCAAATCACTTGAGCGTAAAAACTAATTGTAGACCAAAAGACGGGAATACCTTCTGGAGATTACTGTTGCCCCAAGAAGAAGAAGAAGAAGGAGAAAAACAATCAGCAGCGGGTCGACAGAATCAGCCAAGCGATGGAAATATAAAAACACTCCCAGCTCAACTGGAAAGCAACTGGACGCAATCATATATTTGTTTTCTCGCTCTGACTGCAGGCATATTCCAGAAGGCTTTCTCGATTTTTGCAGTTAGTCAGTTAGCAAAGTCTTATGTCATATAATGAAAATATAATGTCGTTCTTCGCCTCTGCTTTAATCGCGACATTTGTCAGAAGTCACAGCAGAGGGACTAGCAACGATAAACGGAATTTAAGTACAGCCGCAGTCGCTCTTTCAATTATTATTATTCATCAAAATCAAAGTTATTCTTATATGAGTGCAGGGTATTAAAATATTCGAGCACTTAAAAGATATTTACAAGCCGAATGTGCTTAACCGATGTAAAAAGTACATCTTCCTGCTGGCTTATGTATGTTCATAATCAACACAAATCGAATAAACCGAATAATAATAAATAATAATAAATAAATAATAATAATAAATAATAATAATAAACGAATAAACCTAAACCCTATACTTGTTGACTGCCCGTTATAATGAATCAAGACAAAGACGCAACAAATTACGCAACACATTTATTCCTTATTCCGTTTGTTATTAGATTTTCCTCATATCAGAGTCCGTATTTGTTGGGAGCAAGGGAGAGATGCTATAGAGTATTCAGAGTAGCGATGCTTGTGCAATTATCGCTCACACTATGGTATTTGTTGCTGAGAGAGTAAGAACATGAAGGATAGAAAGAGAATTGAGCGATAATGTGTAAAGAGTGCGAAAAGTCAAGCTCGGTAAATAAAAATAAGTGCTTAGCCGCACGTCTGCAGTCACTTAGTCGACACGATCGAAAGTGAGAACGTCAAAAAAATTAGAATTCTTTTTTTAACCAGTTGCCTGTACACCATAATCTCCAAAAATTTCTTTACTCCAACCTCTTCGCTCAGAACGTGTTGTGTCCGTGTTTCGGTTTCAAAATGATACAAAATTTACCAACCGAGATCACTGACAAAGTCTTTGGATACCTCAAAGAAACAGACCAACTGCAATTGGCTCAAGTAAGCCAACAGCTTGGATGTGTGTTTGCCCGCCACGCTAGAGAGAAATATAAGTCACTTTACATCCGGGAAGAGGAAACATGGTCAGACGACGAATTAAAAGTTATTCTGTCATTATTCGGATCCACTGTTGATTATATTTCAATACAATGTACTAATGTACTAAATCAACTTGGAGAACTCATAGAAAAGTACTGCAATAACCTTAGATATGTTAAATTGCAGATAACAAATGAAAATTTTAACGCATTCAAACCTGTTTTAAACATGACATGCATAGAAACTCTTTCCTTATATAATTACGATTATCGCGGAATTGATCTGCTCCAGTACGTAAATCCATACTGTAAAAATTTGCATTTGGACGGAATTTCGACGGCCCAAGGTAAGAATTTTAAACTACTTAATACGAAAAGAATATTCCTGACAAGTGCTTTAAATTTGTTTCAGGTCTACATATACGGAAGCTGACTCACTTGGAAAAGTTGGAAGTGAACGAGATACGAAATATTTTCGAAATATGCTCCCATCTAAAGAAACTTCGCGAATTGACTGTTGGGAATGGGTTGGGAAATGTATCAGATCTGAAACTGGATTATTTATATCCTGAATTGGAACATCTGATGCTTTCGTTTTTCGAAATTGCATTGGACTTGCCAGTATGTTCGAAGCTTAAAAGGTTGACATTACTAAGCATTGCGTATTACATTAAAAAATTTGGTGAAATTATTGGAAAGTACGCAAACACCCTGAAGTATCTACATTTATTACCTTATTATAGCAAAGATGAATTCTATGCCAATAATTTAATAATTGTTATCAGAAAGTGTAAACGCTTGGAGTTTCTTATCACTAGAAAAGGAATTATACGTGTCCTATTCTTCTCATTTCTGGAGTCCCTTATAACCGCTTTAAAGGAGAATGGTTTTAACACAGACAGACGTCTTAAAATGGAGGTGCACTGTGGTAAAACAGACGAACTTAAGCAGGAATTGGTAAGGGTTTGTTCTGGAGTGAAATTGTTGATCCAATATAAGCAAGTTTCTATTACAGATGAACTTATTCCCAAATTCTGAAGTTTGGAACTTAATTACATTGATTCAATTCGATCAAATGTATATTTGAGAATAAAAAAATAAAAATGAGCCACGAGTGTATGTCATGTGTGCGATCTGGAAGAAATGCTCGGGACACCAGAGCAACAAAGTTCAACACCATTGTTTGCATTTCTGGCAGAGAGAGGAGAGAGAGCAAGTTGATGAAAATTAAAAAGAAGAAAATAATACAATTGTGACTACCACCGTTATGCCAAGTTATAAGACCATATGAAAGATTATAACCTCTAAAACCTTTTTATTATTGGGGAAGTACTTGTTTTGGACCAAACCTTTGGAAAAAATCTGTTAAAGGGTATTTTTGCGAATAAGTTCTGGAGCACTTTTGACATTGGAATGCCCTCTCATCTGTTAACATTGTTAAGTTTGTTAAGCCTGTTAAATAATTTTTAAGATGGGAAATAGCCATTAGTCTTGTTTTTTTCATTCCTTAGCCCTACCCAATCACCCTCTGATAGAAGGTATAATCTACTTCTGTAACATTCCCTTAGGGTATTAATATTCGTGTTATTAGCATACGTTTCCGAAGAAACGCAGCATGTTGCTAGGCACACATCAAACGCCATCAAACGCACTCAAACACGTTCGAACGGCGAAACACTCGAAAAAAACGTAAACACAACGTGTTGGCGGTCTGTCACGTTGGTTGTGTACCAAGTTTGAGCGTGTTGCCGTAGGTTCGAGCTCGTGCGACGAAAGAAATAACCGAACGTTTCAATTCCACTTAATTCCGGTTAAAGTAAAAGAGAGCGAGAGAGCAACAGCCGAATAGGTGAGAGAACTGACTGTTAACATGGTCTGACTCTGGAAACATAACATTATGCTGGACGTGTATAAAATAATATTTCTCATAAATTATTAAAAATTGTACATTTAAAATTCTCTGCAATAATCAGTTTTTTATGAGTTATTTTATTTAATAAAATAAAAAAATGTAAAGAAACCAATAGTTTCTAATGTTGTGTGTATATTTTGAATAAAACCAGAGTGTTTTAATGTCCCTGAAGACTCAACCATCCTACATTAACTACACATGTATGTGTGTACATATATATATACTATAGCATCTGATTCAATTTCTTATTTTTGGATGATTTTTTAAATACTTATATCCAAAGTTTATGTATTTATCTTTAAAAAAAATTACATCATATTTTCATTTTATAGCTTACGATTCCATCTGCACACTCTGTTAACAGATAACAGTGAGCAGTGCTCTGCTTGTCATTTTGAACATTGTGCCTGCTAACGGCTCGTTTCCAGCCGTCAGTCCTAACGGGAACTTTGTGCGGAGCGGACGGAAAACGGAAACAACAGTCTCGGTCCAAAACACCTTACGTCAAGCCTTACTAAGTGAACAGAAAGAAGAGTGTTATCAGTGTCACAGCGAAATACAAATCATAAAAGCATTGGAGAAATGCTGCATCAATATACAGTGAAACAGCCAGCCAGCATAAAGTACTACAGTGAAATTATATTGTTTGCAGACCAGTAAATACACCACCCACAAAGGTCTAAGTGCAACATCAGTGATTGGAGACCTGGTATACAGTGAAACCCTAGTGACACATCTGATTTACAGTGAAACGAGAGTGATTGCAGCACCACATATGTAGCTCTCAGATTTTTACAATAGTGTCTACAAACAGTCAGGCAGCACTCTGTTGCTTAGGAAATTACGCAAATATTGATAAAGGTATTAAAACTGATGAAATAAATTTTAAAAACTCAGTGAAATCTTTTTGGTGATCAAATTACTTATAGAGCCTGGGAGTACCGAAGTATTGTTGAATATTTTCTGTAAAAGAGTATTGAAAACAAACAAATCAAACAATAGCCAAACATATTGTCGCCGTTGTTTTGTTAAGTTATTGGAGCCTCCTATTTTGTATGAAAAAAATGCATTAAATATTATATGTAGTGTTTACGAAATTTTATCTGCTTGGAGGCTGAGCGGCTATTGAGTTTCTCTCTACAAGAACTTTACTTCTAAATGTTACAAGAACTCAAATGATGGCAAATGTTATGCGACATAAAAGTAAACCACAAAGTTATCCCCCTCTTTTTTTTGGTTTGTTTTTAGAAGTCACGTGTCAAACCGAAATCTATTCAGAATTGTTATTCCCTCTAAAGCACTGGAGCTCTGCACCCCACCCCACAAAAAATATAGTTAGTGTATTAAGTGTGTTTGTGTGGTCGTAGTTTGACACACTTTTCCCTATCCGTGTGTCCTTCGAGAAAAAAAACTTTAGCAAGGAGCAGAGCAGGAGAGCTCCTCTGCCGTGGCCCGTGGCGTGGCAGGGAGACGCGTCGGTCGGCAAGGACAAAATCTCGACTGAAATCGTTATTGTCATTGTCGTCGTCGTCCTCGTCGTCGTTGTTCGCTTTTTGGCTCATCAATAAAAATTTCCTTGACATTTTATGAGCCAAAGGATTTCTGGGCTGGAGCTTACTCCTTTCGTGGAGTCCTTTCCAAGTCCATGGCTAAGAAAGAACAAGAGATATGGCCAATATATTAAATGCGACAACGGATTAAACGGTTGGTTGCCCTTTTTATGTCCGCTTATATTTATGGACAATTATTTAAAGAATTGTGTGCGCCTTTGGGGCTGAAAGTTCAACACACAGTTATGGTCTGTGAATGCTTTATGTTTATGGGGAAGTACTGTACTCGAAGAATTCCCCTTTACTGTAGCATCTCCTCCTACTGCTCCTGGGAGCTGGCAAAATTTAATTAAGCCTCCTTTCGATTGTTTATAAATTCATGTTAATGATATTTGGACAGCCCGTCGCGGCGGGGCTCTCCACCAAAAAGTATCTGCAATTAACTCGAATCGTTGGGCGCGAGAATTCCATCCTCCATTGCTAAAAACTTGTGAGAATTTTCCGCTAATTGTTTTCTTCAGAGGAGGCGCCAGAGCAATCCTCGCCAGCTGCGGCGGCGGGTAAAGGACCTCCTCGCTCGACAGACGCCTACCATTTTGTTTTGATATGCAAATGGCCTTAAATTCCACACTCGAATTGAAATGAAATTGCCGAAAACTTTTCCGTTTTCCATCTCTTGCGGAAAGTTGCCACACACAGTCTGAGTGAAAGAGAGACAGAGAGAGAGAGAGAGAGAGAGGGAGGAGGCTCAAGAGCGGTTCGTTCAGTGTGGTGTGGCACGTGCCGTTTACTCGTTTAATTTTAAATGCCAAACATTTTTATTAATGGTTATTGCCGTGAGTGGCAAAAGTGCTCAGGAATCCCCCATTGAAAGATGGGGGCGCTGCTCGTAATAATCGAAAATTGTTTTGCCATTATAGGCAAGTTACAGTAGAAGGTCTCCTAGGGGACTGCTGTCTGAAGGCTAGACAGATTTTTGTGGTGACAATCACAGTGTGTTTGGTCCTTCAACATTTTCTCTTGGGATCTGTTCTGAAATATTTGAGACAGGGAAGATGTTGTGGTAAAAATCAGTGCATTTCTCCTTTTATAATATCTCTGAGGAGAACAGCCAGAATATCTGAAACATTAGAGGGATATCACTGTAATATCTGTAGCCCTATGGGAGATATCACTGTTTATCAACAGTTTTCCTGACAACCTATTCCCCTTAGAGCACACTCTCGCGCTCAGATATTCCAGATTGAAATTGAATGCGATTCAAGGACACATTTATTTAAATATTTTGACAAACTTTGATGACATTTCGCGCCATTCGATTTGGCAGCGCAAACAGACAATCCATTCTCATTCCCACACACATACACACACACACCCCACAAAATCCCCTCCCATCCATATCTATAACGAATATAGGAGTTTGGCTCCCTAGCATTTATATCAATTTCTTTATTCCTGACGGCTTTCTATGGCTATGCTCTGCATTTTGTAGAGGAACAGGACTCCTCTTGGCGGCAGGAGGGGGCTTCTGTAGGAAATTTATGTATGCGTTTTATGGCTACGTGGCTCGTAAATAAGAGAAATGTTGCAGCTCCGCCTGGTATATCGGGCAGGCGGGGGGTTTTTTTTATCTCCAGCACACGTGTGTGTGTGTGTGTGTGGAAGAAGTTAGAAAGGTTTTCGAGTGCCTTAACCATCAGGCGGTAAGCAGATTTCATTCTAGTAGAAATTCTGCCATATTTTGCAGTCAACTTTTTCTCAAAATAAATGCCCAAAGTGACACATTTAATATGATTTGTTTATGGGATTCTGCTTTGTTTTCTGCTGACAGTTGAGACCCTGATATCCAGAAGCTTGTCCGTCATTCAAGATGGCTTAGAGGAACACATTTTCTAGATTTAAAATTGGTTTTTATTTAAAATGGAAAAAATAAGAAAGTGGGGCTGGTTTTGGCGATGGAAGATCGATCGATTTTAAGCGCTTTCATTACAAAACAACTTTCTTGAGATTATATATTGTTGCGTGAACTGCTTTTGTGGTCTTCATTTGTATAATTGCTAGCATAGCTCTTGATAAGGTTAACCAGTCTACTATACTCTGTGAAGTTTTGGTAGGAGTTTCTTTAGAAATAAAGTTGCTTTTGTTTTTTAAGCATTTGTTGACATTTGACAGCTATTATTTCGATGAAAGTTGGCAAACGCCTTATGTAGACAGATATAAGATAACTATTTGTAAAGTTTGATTATATTGTCTGTAAAAATATAAGAGTTTGTTTTAAGAGTCTGTTCATACGACTGTTTATTCTCAGATATTCGACCTTGGTACGTAATAATAATTGAATCCTGTCTGCTTTGATCACATATTAGGATCTGTAAAAAGTTGTAGACCTAAGAACAGACCAACGGACACTCAGATAGAAAGAATAGTCCAAAGTAACCCCTCTTTTAATGCTGATCAATAATTAATACAATTATTTGACTGTTATTATAAGTAATACCATCAAAAAACTATTTAGATGGTGGGGAAAACGCACATTTTATTCCGAAAGAAGATTGTTTAGGATTGCGAAACAAAGACTATGAGCGGTGTAGGGGGATAACAAAATGAGAGAGAAAGAGAGAGAGGGAATAGGAGAGTAAGAAAGAGACGGGTCGAATGTGTGTGCAGAGGAGCATGCAATGGGCGAAAGAGGCAGAAGGCAGAGGAGAAAGAGAGGAGAGTGGAGGCCAAATTAGTTTTCTGAGCAAAATGCCCAAGCTGTTCAAAAGAGAGTGGACCAAAAACAAAGCTCAGTTCGTTAAACTCAACCGTTTATGGATATATATAGTATATATACATATATAAAGTACATGCATGTACATACCCTACATGCTACATATGTATGTATGTATGTATGTACATACCCTACCTTTTGTTGTGAGCCGTGTGTTTAGCCAAGCAGAACGTTAAACCTCCGTCGAAGCCGGCGTTGCGTTGAATGTTTTTGTTGTTGCTGCTTTTTTTTTTGGCCTGCATTTTCTGTGTTTGTGGCGCAACTTTAGAAAACAGAAATTGGTGGCAAGCAACAGCCACAAATTTGTTTGAATGTTGCATCAACGAACTGCAGCAGCAGCTGCAGCAGCAGCAGCTGCAGCAGCAGCAGCAAGAGCAGAACAGAATACTACCTATGAATACACCCTCTATTTGTGAATGAAATTTGAATATTAAAAGATTGTTGGGCAAGTGCCTGAACAAACAGCCAACGGAAACGGAAGTGGAAATGGTGTGAGGGAAAAAGGGGGAGAGATGAAAACACTTGCGTGGGCCGAAAGGGGCAATTAATGGGAATTATTGATAGAGGAAAAACCAGGAGCACCCTATAGGAGTCGAGAGTCCTTGAGTCAATTACTGTCCTACTCCCATTGGCAAATTTCCCGTGAATTTTCTTGTCCAATCAAGCCCGCACTCGTTACTCGAGCTTTAGCCTTTCCTTTTTCCCTACAATTCCTTTGCAGCTTTTCCTTTCGCTACCCATTTCTCTCCAGCTTTTCCGCTTCCCTCCCTTGAATGCGGTCAACAACAGCAGTGTTTTCCACGAAACGAATCGATCGTCTTTTCACTTGCATTGACTTTTGCTTTTCCTGGAAAACGAGCTGCAATTAAATGCGATTTGCATATTAAATACTTATGGCCAATAGGTAAATGTTTTTCTTGATTTTTTTCAAAGCTGCCTGTCACTCTTTCCTGCCCCCTACCCCTCTTACGGTCGGGCAGATCCACTCCGCGTAATGAGTGCCTGAAATCCAATAATTGGAAATCTAAACCCAGTAACCGTGAAGAGATTGCAAAAATATTACCCGCCCCCCAACAAAAAATGCGAGAAATAAAAATGTAAAGGGAAAAACCCAATCGAAATGGTAAACAAAAAGTGTATGAAGCTCTGCTATGGTCTGCACTCTCGTAACCGTTGGAATGGCACCTGCCACATAGCGTCTGCGGCTAAAAATTTCAAATTTCCATTTAGAAAAACATTCTGAGCCGCACTGGTACCCCGACCCCACAATCACCGAAACCAGATGCAAATAAAAACAAATTTTGTATGTGTGTGTGTGTGTGGCAGCTGCATGCGCAACTTTTCCATTGTATTCGTAGTTTATTTTGTACGTTTACGTGGCTATACTCTTCCAGAAGGGTATTGGGACTATGAGCAGGTATTTGAATAGCAGAATAAAGAATATTGTCCCTCTTTCTGTTTGAGTGTGCTCCACTTTAAACATGTTTCCTGAAGATCTCTGGCTGCAAAGTGTGGCAGGGACTTCATCTTAAAATTGT